TTCTCTCAAACAAATTAAACACAATAAAATGAAGTACTGGAAATCCATAAGGTTTGCTCCATGATAGCGACAAGCCAGCCGGCGATAATAAGGCTACCTGATCTTAAGTCTTAAGGCTTTAATTTTAATTTATTTAGGTCAACTTTGGACTTTGGACTTCGGAGGACTTGTTGGCATATTTTATACCGATCGTCTTTGGATAAATACAAGTATGGATTATCAGGGAAAATTATTACTACTATATATGTGTCATAATTTTGATACTAGTATCATTTTTTTAGTTAAACTATATGATAAATGAGACCAATATATAGATTCATGTTTATTAGCATCCTCCTGAGCCCTGAGTTGGACCCAAATACTCGAATACCACTAGGCTAAAGGGAGAGATCTCTTCTTGGCCATATCCCGCCGATCTCGGCCACGTATTTCATTTGCTAAAGGATGTAGTTCAATTTCCAGCTCCAGTCGTTGATCATTAAGTCGTTGCTTATAGCTTGTTATAGCTTCAATGGTTTCCTGGGATTGTCAGGGCTGTGCTCTGAAGTGCCCTGTTCACCGTATTGGTTGAAATTGAATCAAATTCAGTTTTGAAGTTAACCCACATATTAGCAACTAGCAATTTCCTAAGAAACAGCCAAAATCCAAAAATTTTGGTTTCCAGACTTGACACTTCTGATAACATACCTGCGACACCTACTTTCTTGGTATTCATCCATGTTTGATTAATTTGCAGCGATCCCGGCCTCCAATGGACCAGGATCTCTATTACCCGAGCCTTACTTTGGGTTATTTCTTGATAAAATTAAAATCAATTAATTTCCCTCATGAGTCATAACATAGCAGACATTGTAAACATCCTGCTTAAAATAAAATAAAAAAAAGAAAAAGAAAGAAAGAAAACTCTGCCCATTAGAATAGTCATGCTACTAATTCCTGTATTGAAAGCTTATGCAAATATTTGGAGTTTACACTTGATCACAAGGAGTTAAAGGTGAGGCAACATGATCAAATTGTCACTGCTGCTTGTTGTCAACAGATGATAAGGAGGTAAAAAAAAAAAAAAAATACTCCTCGCCCAATTCCCATCCATTGGTATTGCACTCAGGTGAAGTGACGAGGTGCGTTCATATTTGCGAAAGTGGCGATCCACCATTAAAGTCCAAATTATAGTGCGCCAATAAGTAGTGGGAACAAAGCCTAATTCACAAACTTTGAACGGCATGCTAGAGACCTTTGTCATCACCCCCCCTGCTCTCTCCTGGAATTAATTTCTAAGTCGTCGCCTCCGCAGTCCAAGATTCAAATTGCAATGGAATAACTATCATAATTCTAGGATTGCATCTGCCTAATGTCTAGACTCCAGAGTGTAGGTACATATATGTCATAAACTAGATTTATGATTCGAAAATGAAGCTAGTTTTGTTTATCATGATTGCTATTGGTAAAGGGATTTAAATGCTAGCCGCCCTAATAAACCAAAATTCATCTATGATTTCAATACCACGGCATTATCAAACCATAAAATTTATTAGGTTCACATGCGACACAACATTTTTTTCTCTTTCAATGGAAAAAAAATATATGAACAGTTGCACCATTGGCAAATTTTGAAGGAGACATATCGAGCCCAAGCTGAGTACAAAACGGCTTCAACTACATACATAAATGGATTGCTCACTTGTCAATAGCTACGAACATCTTGTGCTTTCGAAGGCTCAACCTGTGCCATGTATTTGCACTAGTGAAAACAGCCATGTTGCCATTAAAATGGACCCATTGCACCCTTTTATATCCCGGTCCCCTCCCTCTTTTACAACCCTCCTCCTCAATCTTTATATTCAGATTTCTAAAATTTAATCATTTATATTCCTGCTTTTTGAGAACCAAATTATCTTGCTTCGTTTTGGATTCCTGAAAACATATGAATCAATTTGGGCCTTTAATTATCACAAATTTTATATATCTATATATATATATATATAATTGTAAGAATTCAATATGTTTCGCAATATGTGAATATAAATGAAAGCAATTTTCTCTTGATATATTTAACCTCTTTTTATTAATATTTTTACCATTTACGATTCACTTTTTTTTGGTAAAAAAATGTATAAAAAATAATAAATGAGTAAAAAAATAAATAACAAAAATATCAACTAAACAAATTTTTAGTAATCCACAAAAGGTAAGATTGTACTAGTTTGTAGAAAATAAGAATAAAATTAAACTTTGGATGATGAAGATCTAATAAAAAATTAAAACATTTTCTAATTTCAATACGAAAGACTAAGTGCTTGTTTGGTCTGACTTTTTTTTCAACTTATCTATATTTTAAAAGTAAAAATCAAATCAAACATAAATTTTTAAAAAGCTTGAAGAAGCAATTTGGGCCTTCACAACATTGAAGAAGAGAATGGTGTAGTGTTGAACAAAAAGGGCCCAAGAAGAAGTTGCAACTCTGGACTCAAAGTCACTGAAAAGAAGACAAAATCGTTTTGTGTTTTATATCTCTGATCCTGACAGCCGACTGACCCATGCAGCAAGGTAACTTGCATTCGAGAACGCTGGCTGTCCCCTTGTGGGCCTTCTCCAGCTCATGCTTTCATGTTTTCAGCATCACAGGCTTACTGCACAAGCAGCTCCATTGTCCTTGCATTTTTACAACTGTCGGCAGTAAGCAATTGGGTCCCCCTGTATTGACTCTTTTCTGCAAACACCAGACTCCAGACTCAGTTTCGGAGACTATTTTACTACTGCATTTATTACTAAAGAAAAGAAGAAAATTTCCTCAAAATTCTCGTGGCTTGATTTTGGCAGCACTTGTTGTTTTTCAGTGCAGAGATGGAATTAATGAGGGGAGAAGAAATTGAAATAAAAGAGGATTTACTTTGATTTTGTGTAACCCAATAATTGATGCAAAAATGAAAGCTGGAAAGAAAAAGATGCAAAGAAACACGTTGGACACTTGCTATATTTTAAAATCGATTATCCCCACCGTTGGAGAAAAGGTTTGTTTTGCTTTGCTTGGATTTTTGTCAGAGTACAAGTGGAGCTTTCAAGCAGCTTCTTCTGCAATTATGAATCCGATTGTACCGACAGCAACTTCTTTTCTTGCATGCAAGAAATATACATAGAAAATGTTAGCTTAACCTTAGAACATCTAAACTTGTAAAAACTCCATTTATGTAACTGACATTAAAGAAAGGGCAAGGCAATCCCAGTTCTGTTTGAACCACTTCACGAATATTGTAGTGAAAGGACTTCTTGCTAGCTAGGAAACAGAAACAGGGCTCCTTAACTAGAAGGAAAAAGGAAGTTCATTTATTCACTAATAAATTCAACAAAACACTGAAGTTCTACATAAAATATGAGATAAGTATCAACAGAAAGAAATAGCCAAAGACCCCAATATGATTTTTCTTGATGAGGTCCATCAACAGCAAGGAAATCACAACCGATGAGGAATAAGAGTGCTATAAGTTTTAGCGGATGGGAGGGAAGCAGTTGATTCTTGGTGAGACTTCTCTGTTGAATTGGAATAATGATAACCACCTTTCATGCAAGGAACCCACTTAAAAGATTCCTTCCTCTCGCAACCCAGCGGCGGTTTTGAGAAAAACTTAGCACACTCATCTTCTGATTTTTGATTCGGCAGGTCCAAAATGCAGTTGTTCCTTACATCAAGTTTCTTTTTCCATATCAATTTCCTACAAGCAGGACCAACCTGGGTGAAATAGTTGTTTGCCAAAGACAAGTTTTCGATCTTCGGGAGCTGGCAGACTATTTCCGGTACTGCTCCGTAGAACTCGTTGTTGGCCAAATTGAGCAGCTCAATCTTTCTTAGGCACCCAAACGAGTTTGGTATAGGGCCTGTTAACTTGTTGGAGCCTACATCAAACACAGTGGCTTTACTCAGATACCCAATCTCATAAGGCAAGCACCCTGTCAGTTGGTTGTTGAGGAAAAGCACTTCGAGCAGGTTACGAGCTCTGCCAATGCTTGGCGGAATAGGACCAGCAAACTTGTTGTTGGCAAAAGTGAGGTATAGGACTGGCGTGTCGCCAAGATTATCAGGAAGCTTCTGTTCCAAGTTGTTGTTGTTGATGAAGAGCACATCGAGATCTAATTTGAACACTTCTTGTGGAACTTCCCCCTTAAGCGAGTTGAACCTTAAGTCCAGGAAGGTTAAATTCGAGGCCCCAAGAACTTCCATCGGGAAATCACTACTAATTTTGTTGTTGCTAAGGTCAAGCTCATACAAATATTTAATTTTGGATACTCCAAACGGTACTGTACCGGTGAAGTTGTTGGAGTTGGCGTGGAATATGGCTAGATCGTTCAATTTATCAA